GATAATTTACTAACGCGTTGTCGTCTGTCCCAACGGCGTATAGTACCGTGGAGTAGACCTGGAGGAATTCTTCAGGGTCAGAACTTCCATCGTACTTCTCTATTGCTCCGGGTCGGAATCTCTCGGGCCATCGGACATCACGTAGAGAACGGTTGAAAGCCCTACACCCAGCGCTGGGGGCAGTGGGTTGTCGGCGATCGTGTGTCCTCCGTGGACGTCTATCGGATGATGAAGACGGAGATGATGATGACGATGACGACGATGGCTCACTAGGCTCCGGTGTGCGATTCCAAGGGCGACGTTCAGGTTCTCGAGAGTTCTGTCGTCGTCCACCATTGTTGTCCTGCGCCGATCTCCATTATCATCACCGTCATGCTGATGCCCTCGACCAACATCGTCTGGTGTCCGATGTTCGTGATCGTCGCGGTCGCGGCGGTTGTGACGATTACGGTGGTGTTGGTCTCCGTTCGAGCGTCCTCCTCGATCTTCGCCCTCGCGACGTCGTGAAGAAACACGATGTCGGGAACGATTCTCGTTGTCTTGCGCGCGTCGTGCTTCTCGGCGGCCATTTAGATGGTCGTGGAGATCGCCGGTGCCGCGAGGTGGAGGAGTAGCTCGTCTCGGCGACGTCCGCTGCTCCGGTGGTTCGCCGTCGGTACCGTCAGCCATGGGTCGTTCAGGTTGTGCTCTGGTAGCAGCTTCCTCGAACGCGTTACTGAGATTGGCCACCGATTCCCGTAGTCGTTTTGTCCAACGTGCGAGATCATCGTTAAGCACAGGTTGTAAGGAGCTTCTCTCAGTATTGCGTTGACGGTGCCGAGATGCTGGGCCGGCGTACCCGTCTGGTTCTCCGCCTCTGCGTTAGCCTGTGCGGATGTGCTAGTCCCACCGATGGCAAACACGTCGCGTGGTGTACTGGAAGATGACGAGCCACAATCTTCGAGTAAGTGAAGGACCGATGGCTCGTGGGGATTGATGTCGATTACTCCAACGAATCAATCCGAGGTCAACGTCACTCCTTGTTCCTTGCCTGTATCCTCGAGAGAGGTTCCTGACTGCCGGACCTTAGGAGGCGTCGTCTTCATGGCGCGGAGAAAGACCTTGCAGCTTGAGAAGTCATGATTCTTCGTCTTGTGAATAGGACAATAGACATCATGAGTTGGAGAAGTACGCTGGATTCCACGCTCTTTGCAAGCACGGATTTCAGTTTGTACGTTGAGAAAAACCCAGCAAGCTTGCAAGTTGTGCTTCCTGGACTTGTGGATAGGACACCAGGACTTGGCGACCTCGGAAGCTGTCCTCGTCGGCTCGCAGTCCTTGTCGGAAGGACAAGGCTCGGCCGCGCTAGGAATCTTCTCGGGCTCGCATGACGTCGATGTTCCGTTCTCCGCCACGGCGGGAGGATCCTTCGACATGGGACCGTCCGGGTTTATAACCACGGCGTTCTCGTTTCCGGTTATTGATGAACCAGCCGAGATTGGCACCGTGGTGTAAACCGGGAAGACGATTTCGCCGACTTGAGTCTACACCAGCATTGTTGAAGCAGGGATTCCTTGGATGGGGCCGGTGTTGACTCTGTTGTCGACGAAGCTCGATGTCATAGTAGTAGAACCTTGAGCACCAAGTCCCTCTACCTGGTGCGCCACTGTCGACGGTGAGTAACCGTAGACCGGATATAGAGGGTATTGGGGTACGCTGGTACGAGGATCTACGTAGTACAACATCAAGGAAACAAGAGACAAAGATTATACTGGTTCAGACCCCTTAGCAGGTAATAGCCCTAATCCAGTTGATATGGGATTATATGGAAATAACCACAGATTACAAAGGGAATAGTAGAACTCGGTGGTACCGACGAGATCGTAGTCGAGTTAATTAGACTAGACCACCCGGCGACTTGGCTCCTATAGTCTTCGGCTTCGTAGGCTGTGGTTGTCGTGTAGGCTATGAGATTCGATCCTTATATCCCCGCGGGGGGTCCCTTTTATATCGCAGGTCACGCAGTCTCCAAGTAGGACTCGGAGGCATCAGACCCTGCACGATATAGTAACGACCCAATCTATACGGGTAGGAACCTTTCCATTGGCAGACTTCGTGATGGACTTCCTTAGCGTATTCAGAGGACGTCCGTATATGCACCGATATACCGTATTGCCGTATAGCATACGTCCAAGGGTAGAGGGTATATCTTATCCGTAACCTTGACACATCTGAAGTTAGCATGTAATTTTTTTTAAAGAAATTCCTTATACGACTGGTAATGTATTTAAAAAACGAACGAACTTAATTCAAAATTATAATATGTTGTACGTACTGCAAGTACTAAATTTGTAATCAAAATTATTTGTCTTTGTTAGGTTGCATAATTTTTTTTCATATATTTACTTTGTTATGATTTTATAGTTATTTAGTTATTTTTAATTTTGGATCCATCCTAACAATATGGAATATCCATATAATTTTAGCTTTGGCCTGTTTCAATTTTGAACGTTGTTTTAACCTTTTGAGTAGGTGCAAAGCCGCATGCATGCAAAGTCAGCCCAACGTGTGAACATGCAAAGTCAGTTGAACGTGTGAGTGGCTTGAACTGACATGCAGTCGAAGGCTTGCATGTGCATGCATGCCGCGTCCCTAGAGGACCCGGTCACACACCGACACACGAACGAGTGAACGACGCCGAAAATTCGAACGGGACTCCCATGCAGGCGACGATGAACACGCACATGACATTGAAACAAACAACGAGACGGGTAGGAATCGAAAACGGTAACTTACCAAAAATTTTAGCAAAAGCATCTTCAATTTTTATAATAGTATTTTTATACGCATAAAGTTTAGAGAAACAGAGTTTATAAGTCAAAAGTTTATATATCCGATTCAAATTTAAATTTGAATTTAAATATTTTTTATATATAGTATTTTCTATACATCTAAATTCTATAGACCCAAAGTTTATAAGTCAAAAGTTTATATACCCAATTCAAATTTGAATTTAAATTTAAATATTTTTTATATAGTATTTCTACACATAATTTTTTCTAACTTTGTTTTTTTATTTTTTAAAAAATTATGGTGTAGTAGGAAGAGGAGAAGGGGAGGAGGAAGGGGGAGAGGAGCGTGTTATGGGGGATAGCGATCACCCGCCCATTAGCGACACCCGGAGTAGAGGGCGAGAAAAGAGGAGTTTGAAGCCGTTGACACGTTGTGGCCACGCGTTGAGCGCGTCCGAGAGCGGTCGGCGCCGGTTTTCTTTTTCTCTCTCGCGTTAAGCGGTGAGGAATGAAGATGGACAGGGACTGGGCTAGCTGGGGAGGCTGCCAAGTGGGTCCAAACCGTGGTAACCTAGGCTAGAGAGAAAGGGAAGGGTAGAAACATGGGTAGACTAGATTTTGGATGATTTTCCAGGTTTATTTCTCTTCCCATCTTTGTTAATTCATATATTAATTTGTGGTGCAGATAAATTCATGTAGATTTTACTGGAGTTAGGTGATTATACCTAGATTTCATTTTTTTTTGCACTTAAAAATTATGTGCAGTTTGCTCTCAGAAAAATGGAGAAGATGGGCTCAGCAGAATTTTGTTTGAATTGTTAGAAGGTCTAAACAGAAGAAATAAATTCTGGAAAATTATAGTTACTCTTGATAATTAACCTAGTATTTGAATAAATTATTTCCCTTATACACTTCCCACTTCCATGCAGTTTAATGCATATTTTGGTGAGTTAAGATTTTAGCCAATTAAGGTTTATAATTAGTCTATTATTAGACTCGTTTGACTGATTTATTTGAGGTATTAGCTTAAGTGATAAATTCTGACCAAAATTTCAGTGTGTTGTACACATTGGATAGTATTCATGTGAATTTTTCCAAGATTTAATTATGTATAAATATTTTTTTAGTAATTGATCTAGTCTATCCTTTATATGTATTTTCATCTCGAAATGCATTTGAGCATTTATAGATTTTATATTTGAACACTTCTTTACCTAAGGTGATATTATTAAACTTAGTTTCATACCCAACATGCACACAAGGACTCAAACCTAACCATGATCTATATGCATATGCATGCTTACACTTTGTTACTCAAATTCCATTTTGGTTTGGAAAGGAAAAGTTTTAACTAGCCCCAAAATTCCCTATATGCAAAAGTTGGGTTGACCTACCTAGGTTTAAAATGAAAATTTTAAGCTCGCAAAAATAAAAAATTTATCTTCCAACAATTTTGACAAGGAATTTTAAACCCTAGAATTTAGGTATGTTACAGTCCTGCAACGGGCCTACTATTCGATCTGTTCACCTCGAAGGCAGATGATTATTATCAGTGGTGTATTTATGAGTATTATTACTTGTAACAAAACTAAAAGGATACTCCCTCCATCCCAAAATTTGTATGACAGTGACGTTTTTTCATATAACGTTTGACCATTCATCATATTAAAAAATTGATATAAATATCATTTATTTTATTGTGGTTTGTTTTATTATCAAAGAAATTATAATCTTAATTTACACTTTTGCATATTTATACTAAACTTTAAATAAAACGAATGGGCAAACGTTATGCGAAAAGTCAACGGTGTCATTTTTTTGTTGGGAAGGAGGGAGTATATAGTATTAGTGGTAGGATCTCTTTGATCTAAAAAAAAAATAGTGTATGAACTCGCCCAGTTGGAGTACAGCCCACTGCCCACAAGTTCATTTCATGAAAGTTATAAAAGTCAACCAAATTCAGCAGTGTTTAATCTTTCGGTTTAGTCATTTATATCAAGGTGGCCGAAATACCAAAATTTCTAAAATTTCGGTCCAAAATTATATGAATTTTTAAATAAAATTTGATTAAATTTGAAAAAAATATTACCTAATTCATGAAAAAAATTTAAAAATTTCGGCCGAAATAATATCATATCCGAAATTTTGAACCCTGAAATGCAGGCCTTCTGGAGGGGTAGATAGTTGACCTTTATGCCGACGACTCTGCAAGCTGCAACGACCGCTTCTACCTGCAATATGATTGATGCTATATAGTTTCTTCCCCGGCTGCACTTCTTCATTTCTTCCTCCTCTTCCTCCGACATGCACTTGTGAAGCGACTCGAGGAATCCAATAAGTGAGGCTAGCTCCATTTCATAACAGCTCATCGGGCGTCCGTGCAGGTACTCAAATTTCTTGCCAGTAATATTTCCATCATCTATTTCTGTTTTACTTTTGCAAAGCATGATGGAGTAGAAAGTCCAACATGGTATGTGCTTGGAGCTTTACGAAACACTCGGTCTTGAAGTTGAACTGATATGATTGTTGAAACTTAAAAGGAACTGATGCTATTCAAAGACTAGATAAATCCATTCATGTTCCAGTCTTAAGTATTATGCACAGCCCAACAACAATCTTCTCCAACCTTCTTACCGCTAACAGACTAGTTTCTTAATCACAATTCAGAACTGCCAGTTCAAAATCGAAGGCAGGAGCAAAACCTGAAATCCCTTACTTCACATCAGGAACCTTTTATATCTATACTCCTTTAAAAAGAGTAGTGATGGTGGTGATTGGTGAATCTGCCACCACCCCCACCACCAACTCAGGACCCTTTTGGAGTAAGGTGATGCCAAAGGGTCCACACATCAACCACCTCCACCACTTTGTTGTGAAGGAAAAATGATATTGTGAGGCCATAGGGCTCATGTTATTTACCGATATATCTAGAATTTAAGAAATGATGTATAAAAAATAATGATAATAGTATGTTTTTTTTTTGGTAAATCTCAAAGAGGACAAGGAGTGCATGTTTTCATATAAGAAGAAGAAGAAGAGAGTTGGTCTAGTTTTTGAATGATAATAGTATGTTAATAATCATTTTCATCAATTAAAATCCCGTGCAAAATGCTAGTTAGCATTAAGAATGCATATGGACGAAAGAGACTACCCATTGGCATGGCCAACACTCAGCAAAGAACTTTTTATCAAGGTTTTCAATTTTTTTTAACCAAAGAGATCTGTAAATTTTTGCTATACACACCCCAAAAAATAAAAATAAAATAAAATTTTCTCCGGGTATCTACTTCATGTTTGATTCACGCTAAAATTGGAAGTTTGATTGAAATTGAAACGATACGATGGAAAAGTTGAAAGTTTGTGTGTGTAGGAAAGTTCTAATGTGATGAAAAAGTTAAAAGTTTAAAGAAAAAGTTGGTATCTAAACCAGGACTTTTTCTCATCCCAGATATCAACTGTTTACTGCATTTAGACCATTTACTATGTGTACTATTTCCCTGTTTCCTAATGTACCCTACTTTTGATGCTCAACCAAATACTAGTTCCTTGTAGCTCAGCAGTCCAGAGTATTAGTATGCTTGCGAGTAACTATCGAAGGAAGGAGTAATAGTTTTCCATCCTCCAAACTGTCACCCACTCACCCTCCAAGTATTATCTTTTGATTCAGGATTCCAGCAGATTCAAGTTCCGCTATCCCTTTTTCTATGATGATCAATCAGATTGTGCACCTCCCTTTGCGTATCCTTGATTCTTTTCCTTCATGCAGTTCCGCCAGTGCAGTTGGCGTTTTGGGACCGTTCTCACACCTTTTCCAAAAAGCAATAAATTTGGTTTGAAAAATATGGAAAATATTTGCCATGTAAATATAATGATAGGCACAACATAGAAAAAGGTATCCCTCTAACCAAAAAACCCAATCCTAGCTACGAACCTGGACACGCATATGTTTGTCTTTTTAGACGGAGTAGTACGTACCTAATAAAATAGAGGTAAACTGGGCGAGGAATGCCTTCTTTCTTGCATATCTAAGGAATTTAGTAGATCTGTACTGCCATAAATAATATTTAACGTGTATATTTTGGTAATAACATGCTAAGGGCCTGTTTAGACTTTAGATCCCACTCAAAATTTTACACCCTATCACATCAAGCGTTTGAATACATATATAAAGTATTAAATATAGACTTAAAAAAAATTAATGGTACAGATTGCGACTACTTTGCAAGGCGAATCTTTTAAGCCTAATTGTTCCATGAATTGACAATGTGGTGCTATAGTAAACATGTGCTAATGACTAATTAATTAGGCTTAATAAATTCATCTCGCGATTTACTAATGGATACTGTAATTAGTTTTTTTATTAGTGCCCGAACACCTCGTGTGACACCCTATATAATACCCGAACTTTACATCCCTGTATCTAATCTACCCCTAAGATTAGCTCTGTCATGTCGCATATGTATCTTTAAATTAACATTGAATTGTTATGGTCAGTAGCGGAGCTAGTGGCGGAGCTAGCCAGGAGCTACGCCTAGGGCTCATTTATATTATCTTGTTCTAATGTTCTACTAATCCACACAGATTTTAGAAATTTAAATAAAATTTACATGGAGTCATGAACCCAGGCCTAGGGCTTGAGCCCTGGCTGCCCTAGGCCTGGTTATTGTTAATCCGGTAGGCCATAATTAGGAGTAAACTGGAGATTATCAAACATGACTTGCTCCAAAAGGTGTTCCATCTGTTTAATTAGGTGGTGTTTGGATCCATAAGTCCTATGGACTTATTTTAGTCCTAGGACTAATCACTTTAGTCTATGGCTGTTTGGCTATATGGACTAAAAGGGACTAAAGTACATTAAATGCGCTGTACAATGACCATATTGCCCCATAAAACCATGCAAAGTGGACTGCACCATGCCCCTTGCTGCAGCATGCCGTTTGCTGCCGCTGCTACCACTTTGCAAGCCAAAACATTGTTGTTGCACGACTGCACAACCAAATGCAAGCCAAATCAATGTTTCACCCCAACATCACAAGCATTAACCCATCATAATTTGGACAAATACACACCTTCAGCAAGCCGAATCACAAGCAATAACCCATCATCATTTTCATTATCAATATCACAACCAAATCACAGAAATTCAAAGAAGCTCATACACATCTCAAGTTGTCGAAATACATCACAGAAGTTTCAATGTTACAAATTACAAGCACTCATGGTTCAATTAACAAGTTCAACCAAATACAATTCACAATAAATTTGAACCATATATTACATTCCTTTCAAAGACCACAATCCATCGGCAACCCAGTCCCGAAATTGGTTCATCACATGCGAGTCCAAATCATTTGTTGGTTCGCTAGATGGAGAAGAGGTTCCACCCAATGGATCATAATTTTCATCTTGGTCATAATTATCGAACTCTGCATCAGCCATTTGACTGTCTCTAATGAAATTATGAAGTGCTATGCATGCATGAATAATTCTGCTTTGCTTTTTCTGCGAGTAGCTAGGTAAATTAAACAAAATCATCCACTTGTTCTTCAAGACCCCAAACGACCTCTCTATCACATTGCAACACGAAGAATGGTTGTAATTAAAGTGCTCCCTTCTTCCCCTAGGCAATGTGCTTTCGTTGTACTTTTGGAAATGATATGTTATACCCTTGTATGGTGTAAGATAACCCGGCCTATTTGGGTATCCCGAGTCTACGAGATAAAACTTTCCTGGAGGTGGCTTTGGTAACTTGCCACTAAATCTAGTTTGAGCATCATTGAATACCCTCATATCATGAACCGAACCAAGCCAGCTAGCAAGCACGAAAATAAATCTCATATCAAAGTCACAGACGCACATAACATTCTGACTCTTCTCCTTATGTCTATTCCTATGTTAAACAGCAGCTGAATTTGGCACCACAACTTGGATATGAGTACCATCTATTGCTCCAATGCAATTATCCAAATATGGTATGTACTGTGGAGAAAGCAATTTTTTATGGACTGTTGAGAAAAGAGGATCTTTTGGCCTAATGATATCTTTTGCAAGTCTTAGTAGAGCGGTCAAAACTGCTTTGAACTTAGTATGTACTGTTCTAAGAGACCTAACAAATCGGTCTTGGGCTTGCCTAATTGATTGGGGAGCACCTACTATCCACAAAAAAAGACCCAAAGACTCCATGGAATCCATTTTGTTTGTGGACTTCAACTCATATGATTCCACAAGCACCGAATGTAACCTCTCAAAAACTGGCATGTGCATCCTAAACATGTTGTAACAAGCAGTTCTATTGGCTAATGTTCTCATAACCCAATCATGTCCAGACTCAGGTGCTACTCTTCTTAGAGCCTTATTAGAGTAAAGTTCCAAGTAATACGTACCAATCATGCCAGCAAGCATACATGCTCTTCTCCTGTTCATTTCTCTTTTCTTCAAAATAGAAATGATAAGATCAATCTCCTCATCACTGCTGTCTTCCTCACAGCTATCTTTATCAGCATTGCCCTCACCATCCTACATGACTGACATATGCATAGAAAGGAAGCACATCATAAATATAATATGAACAAACTTCAACAAGAAAAGAAGGGAAGGTAGTTAAATAGATCCACACATCACATGTTGATTACATCACATCACATCAAAGTAGTAGATAGTTCAACACAAAAGTAGTTCAGAACTAATGCAGCTAAGACCCAACTAATGCAGATAAGACCCATCTAATGCAGCTAAGACACCATAATGCAGCTAAGAAAGACACCATATGCAGCAATGGCAGAGTGCCTCTAGTGCAGCTAAGAAAGGCATCATCTAATACAAATTCTTATGCTGGCACCATCTCTTCAACCACATAAATCTTGCTTCATTAGTGCTAATATTCTCAAACATAACTCTGTTATGTTTGGAAGCAAACAACTGTGTGGCACAAAAGTATTCCACATTGTCTTCTGCTGCACCACACTCTACTGCCAACTTCTGACAGTGTGTCAAGGACTCAGCCATTTCTTCTTTCTTCTGCTCCTTTAACTTCTTGCTGTTAACAAGTTCAGTAATTAGGGTATTGGACTTATCACTTTTAGAGGTGAAAGAATTGAGCAGCCCCCTCATGAGCTTCACCACTGGGCTCTTGCTTTTTTTTCCAAGACTTGAAGCTGTGGACACATCACAGCTGCTACTCCCTCTCTTCCTGCTGTTAGTGCTCATGGGGCTATTCTCAAAACCATCCCCTACAGCTCTTTCCCCTCTAGCTGTCTCCCTTGCATCCCCTGCTTCCTCTTCTTCTTCCTCTTCATCTTCATCTTCAAAACCAGGGATATATGCTGTGGAACCATCAACTGCAACTCCTTGAAACATCTCTATAAGAAAATCTAAGTACTCAGGGTTGCCATGGCGAAATTTCTTGGCATCCCCCTTCTCCTGTATTGACACTTAATCAATATCACAGATATCTCCAAAATCATGTAAACTAGATCAATTTTTGACAACTGCGTACCTTAATTTTTTTTCCCACCAAACATTTGATGCAATTATTTCTCCACTAGCACTTCTACCAGCTCCAGTTTGTTGGTTCAGCCACACCCAAGCAACGTAATAATTCTTTAGATGGGTGAATCTATTCTTTATCTGTTTGGTTGAATGCCTTAGGTTAGCCCTTTGGAAATATTTGGCCTTCAAATTCTGGTACCCTCTAGTTGTCCATGCTCCATTAGGACAATGCCCATCCCTTATTTCCTCACATGCTATTTCACACAATGTGTAAGTTTTTTCTTCTGTCCAAATTGCCTTGTCATATGTATTCTAGGAAAGAAAAACATGATTTAACCCTAAATTAACCACATGAACAGCAAATGACATATTACAAATGCTTAGCCCACGGCATGCATAGCAATTTCAATATCATGAGCAACAATTGACATATTTCGAAAGCAATAAAACAAACGGAACAGATTTGAACCATCGGGGTTTACCATGCGCTGACCATCAGGACCGAAGTCCTCTTCGTCTTCGTCGTTGCCGTCGTCCTCAGCCACATATGTCCCTTGAGACGACGACGCACCGACTCGCGGTCCTCCTCCGAAGACTCCAAAGTCGAAGGCGGGTGGCCCGCTGTGCGACATGGATGCCGCATGACCTCGGAAGCCTCCATCGCCAGATGCTGAGCCAGGGGGAACCCATCCTCGCATTCCCCTGCCAGATCCAACGCCATTGGTCAACGACCTGCCGCAGCCTCATCCTCCTCCTCTCCCTCCACGACTTCTGCCGCGTCCCCCTCCCCCCGCTGGAGGACGCGACGGGGCGATGGTGGATCTGCTCCCTGCCTGAATCGGAGGTAACCCAAGGCTACCCGGTTGAAGGATCTGTTAGTAGGAGGGGAAATCAGGGAAGGCGTCGGCCTGGGAGTTCAGATCCAGGCCCCCCGATCCCCCTCCCCCAAAATGGATGCCAGCGCCAGATCCAGCATATCCTGAAGACCCCTGCGAGAAGCCGTAGTCGGAGCCGTCCATGTGGCCGGCTGGAGCTTCATTGAACGACTGGGAGAAGAAATCGTGAGGATTTCCCCCCGCCATTGCTGATGCGCGATTCGTGAGGCTTGCGCGAGTGGCAGCGGCTTGCACGACGCCAGCGAGCCAATCGGCGGGCAGAGGACAAGCTAGCGCGAAGCAGTGGTGGAGGCTAGCGCAGGGAGATGGCGGCGACGGCGCGGGGTCGAGAGGAGCAAGAGAGAGATGACACGAGGAAGAGATGAGGCGAGGAAGAGAGTGGGCGAGGAAATGGATAGGGTTGGCTACCGTGAAGGGGCAGCGGGTGGAAAAGAGGCACTTTAGTCCCAATAAGCACCTCCATTTGGGACTTCTGGACTAATGCACTTTAGTCCCATTTTAATCCCTCCTGTTTGGGACTCTAGGGACTTAAAGTGACTTAAAGTGGAGGAACTTCTTTTTTAGACCCTCAAAGAAACAGGGCCTTAGCTTTGCGCATTGTAAGTTACAGATAAATAATAAATGCAGTGCTTTGAATAATGCACCGGCTTCACGAATTTGCAGGCACAATATAACCACATCTTCTGTGTCACTCATATGGGAGATTGGTATGATAAACTTTCACAATCTTTTAGGGATACTGCGAAGGAAGTATTGGCAAAAGCGGATATTGATCCAAATGTTAGGTGCTTCACAAGAAGACAGATGAAACGCATCACAAATAACTACAGCACTACCTTGGGAAGAGGAGGGTTTTCTGTGGTGTACAAGGGTATGCTCGACGATGGCCATTCAGTGGCAGTGAAACAATATAATTGGAGAACACAGAAAAAGGAGTTCACAAAAGAAGTGATCATACAGTCCCAGTGTAGTCATAGGAACATTGTTAGATTATTGGGTTGTTGTGTGGAGGCAGATGCTCCAATGCTGGTGACTGAGTTTGTCCCGAATGGAAACCTTTCTGAACTTCTGCATGGGAACATTGGTCAGCTTCCTGTCTCATTAGAGACACGCTTCCAGATTGCATTGGATGTAGCAGAAGCAGTTGTATATATGCATTACTCTCAAAATCATCCAATCCTTCATGGAGACATCAAACCATCAAACATACTTCTAGGCGACAAGTATGTGGCGAAGCTATGTGACTTTGGAATATCTAGGCTTCTCTGCATGGACAATGATGAATACACGGGGTTTGTTATAGGAAGTATGGGATACATGGATCCAGTGTACCGTGAGACTGGACGACTAAGCCCAAAATGTGATGTCTACAGTTTTGGGGTTGTTCTGTTGGAACTCATCACCAGAAGCAAAGGGATTGATGATCAGAACAGAAGTCTAGCTAGAGTTTTTGCTCACTCTAGTATAGATGAAAGATATAAACTATTTGACAACGAAATTGTAACCAACGAGAATGTGGACTTCATACAGGAAATGGCAAACCTTGCACTTGATTGTTTGAAGTCTGAAATAGAAGATCGGCCTCAAATGAAAGAAGTCTTGGAACATCTTTATAGTCTCAAAAGGAAAATGTTGGAACAGGAGAGGAAGATTGCAGAGTTGATGGAAGAGAGAAGGATTGCAGAGTTGACAGAGCGAAGAACTGTGGCATTTAGGGAAATCAAGGCCATATTGCAAGATATTGGTTTTGAAAGACTCGTCACAAAAGAAAAAATAGATTCCATCGTAGGCAACCCGAAACAGGTATCAACCTCAGAGGCATTTTCAGGAAAAAGTAGTGTTCTCATTCAGCGTGCCATTGGCAAGATTTGCATGGGACATTTGAAAAACATTCGATTTATCGTGATAAAGATGTCTGTTGAGGCTGATGAGATTTGGAAAGAGATGTTTCTTTATGAGATGATCAAGCAATCTAGAATTGAGCATTGCAATGTCGCCAAGCTTTTTGGCTGCTGCCTAGATCATGTGGATGCCCCAGTATTAGTTTATAAGTATGGTGACATAGGCTTGCATGATGCTCTTTTCGGTAACGCGTGGCAGCAGTTTGATTGTCCTTTCGCTTGCGAAATACGTCTAGAGATTGCAGTTGGTGCTGCAGAAGGCCTTGCTCACCTGCACTCACTTAATGTGGTTCACGGCGATGTCAGAACTGCCAATGTAGTACTGGATGTTTATTCTAAATCTAAGCTCGAAATGCCTGGGATAACTGCATTTATGGCAAAGATTGCAGGTTATGGAACACAAAGGCTCCTTTCCTTGGATAAGGCCAAGCATGAAATATTTCTAACAGAGAACATCCATTACAAGGATCCACACTTCCTCAAGACTGGGCTCATGGCTAAGGAATATGATGTATATGGTTTTGGCGTGGTTCTTGTGGAGCTCTTCGCACAGAACATGGTGCAAATGCATGACGTAAACATGGTGCTCAAAGAACTTGATGGCATTCCTGCTAGATGCCATCATCTTAAGGAAATTAAGAAACTTGCTTCTTGGTGTCTTGCATCCAAGGTGACGGAGAGGCCAGCAATGGACAAGGTAGTACGATGCCTTCGAGCTGTCTTGACAAACCTGCAAAATCTTCATGATCCCTGCAACTGCAAGTCAATGTATAATAAGTCTGCGATGCAGTCCGAGCAAATTACCAGTGCCAAGTCTGCCAGTAGCTGATAGCTCCACAATTGTGATATAGGAAGTTAATACAAGTTCCCAATTAATGTGACCTAAATGTAATATTAATATATATTGGTATATATGTGTTTGTAGAACTATTTGCTGGTCAAATATAGGGCAAAGCCATAAACAGTAATAATATTTCTTGCTGGATTTTCTGCTGGGATCCAGCGATTGGAGAGACAGAAAATGTACTGTTAGTAGTAGAGATGGCAATAATGACAACACAAACCCTTCTAATTGTGTTTCCAGCAGATATCCAGATCTTAAGATGCTGTTTATATATGTGTAACATTATCCAATTTTACAATAACCCTCGTGATCGACAATACGGGGGTTAAATTCATCTCACTAGAGCTTTTTTGGTTGTTTTGTTGTTTGTTCTGAGGTTTGGTTGTTGCATGTTTGCGGAATTGCATGCGCCACAGATAGCAAGTAGCAACCGCTGTATTTAGTTCTACTAGTTAGCGTGCACGTGCAAGGCACATCGAATTATATCTAATGGAGTACACCATGTTGGTTTTTTACACTAACAATGAAGAGGAGAAATATCAATTCAAAAAAAACACATTGCTTGAACCAATCGAGATACAATTTATGTTGTCAATCATGTTCGAAGAACGTGCGGAAGCATTAGGAACACAGAGCCACCTAGGAGTGTTCAACCCTAGCACATGTGGTGGTTAGTGGGGGTGTGGCGTCACAACGCTCCATATTTAAGGTTAGAGGACTTTTACGGTACATTCTACTTCAAGTATTCAAGTATATACTGTTAGTATATAATAGGGTAGGTTCGGTATTTGTTAAAAATCTGAAAAGGGTTGTTTAGTCATTTAAAATAGAGATTATTTTGGTTTTTTTAATCATGAATAGTGATAAACTTTCCCGTGGTTTTTTTTCTGTTGTGGATATCGTCATCCGCGTGTAGCGCTTCTTTTCATTTCATCCGGCGTCCCCGGCGACGGAAGCTCCCGGCGCACCTCGCTCCCGCCCCGGCCCAGCGCCTCCATCCCGATATTACCTCCGGCGCCGGGAGAAGCCGATCTTCCATGCGCCCGGCGTCTTCCGCCGTTCCGCATCCCCGGTGCCTTGTCTCTAGCCCTAGCCTGTTCTCCCCCTTATCCGACCTCCCACAGCTTCTGTCTTCCCCAAACCACGGCGGCGAGGGTTGATGGTTTTGGAGTCTAAACATGGTTTATATCGTATAAAGTTCGAAACGATGTTAATGGTTTTGGAGTCTGAACATTCTTCTTTCACGGCCTTCTCTGGAAGACTGGAACGTGGGAGTTGAATGGATAGTAGTCACAGAACTGTTCATACATTAGTTATATTGGCATATAACCATGCTAATTATACATTAGTTATGCTAATTATGCCGCCCTGCCGCTGCCACCTGCCGCCGCCGGGCTGCCCTTGCCGCTGCGAGCTGCCGCAGCTGCACGCCTTCTTCCCGGCGCCCTTCTGTAGCTCCGCCTGCCCGCCGCCTCCCGCAGACAGGGCGTATGTCATTGAACTCCGAGTTGAGGATGGTGTCGAACTCAACGACGAAGAGGTGGTTGGTCGCGTTAACGTCGCCATGCCATCAAAGCTGAGATTCGCGCCAGTGAACCCGTTGAAGACGAACTGCTCGTGGCCACCGCCTTTCGCAGCCCGCCGGCGCCGCCTCCCGCAAACCTGACGAATTGGGGATTTTCGGAAGAACTAGGTTTTGGGTGAGGAAAGGGGGAGGGAAATTGAATCGATTCCCGATGGCAGCGACGCCGGTTGTGGTTGTCGACGGCGGTGCGGCGCGGCGTGCTCGCAGAGGCAGTCAGCGACAGTGGTCGCCCACGCGCGGCTTCGAGAAAAATTCGCTTTGCCTGTGCACCTAAAGGCCAGATCTGACTAAGTGAGAAACACGAATTTACAAAATTACCCCCACGCAAATAGATAAAAAAGACAAATATGCCCCATTCAATTTATACTGCAGAATAATTGGGAGAAAGATCAGATGAATTTACACCGTTAGATCAAATATATTGGTAGTATATACTTCAAGTAGAATGTATCTTAAAAGTCCTCTAACGGCTTGTTTGGTTGGAGGGAGTTTTGAATAAGGAAATGGGAGTTTAGGAGATTGAGCTTTTTAATCTCTAGTTTGATTAGAGGACTTGGGAATTTTAGAGGGACTGGCATAGAGAATTAATCTATCCAACTCCCACCGATCCCATCCCTGGGGACCTGTTAATTCACGAGACTTGGTGGGAATTAAACAGCAGAAGTCCGAAATACCCCTCTCCCGCACACTCCGCCGTCCATTGCCGCGAAAAGGAATAAAAACGCGCGAAAAATCCTGTTCACTGCCGCGAGGAGGAGTAAAAACGCGCGAAAAATCCCCATCTCAGCGCCACTTTCCTCGCCCACTCCGTTGGCCACCACGAGAAGCAATAAATCCTGTGAAATATCACCAGCGATTCTCCCCATTCACACGCGAAACCACAGCCAAGGTTAGGTTCTGACGCAAGTTTGTTGTGTTCTTGAAAACTCTCCCTCTTTCTCCCTCTCTCCTGTACAGATCGAGACCACAGCCTCATGAGGTCTGGATTCTCTCTTTCCCCATCTTTCTGCAGTACATGACTGAGAAATTTGTGTCTTTCTCCTGTACAGATCGATGGAAGCAGCTTTGTAAGGGGAAAAGGTGGGGGGGGGGGGGGAAAAGGTGGTTCTGATCTGCTGTTCGTACTTCTACGTCTGTTGTTGCTCAAGGCTGATTTTTTTGTAGTTTTGCTCTGCAGTTTATCACACCAAAAGCTGTAGGTACTGATGTTATTCTGTTCTCTATTTTTTTTTCATCAGTCGATTGCCTTGTTTGATTTTCCAAGACAGATCAATCAGATTTGGTATTTTAGTATTAATGGTAGTAGGCATTTTCCCAGTGTATAGAGTAGACCTGTTCTTAATTTTTTTTTCATCAGTCGATTGCCTTTATAGATTTTCCAATATAGATCAATTCGATTTCATATTTTAGTATTAATGGTAGTAGGCATTTAATCTGCTATAGAATGACACATAGTGTATTCGTCAATTTCATACGTGATACATACAGAATGGAGGGGGATATGATCAGTATCAAAATTCATCATGGGGGATCTTTTTCAAAGGAGGGTCAACTTTGCTATGTTGGAGGCCAAGTCTCTATTTTTCGCAATTGTGACAGCGAAAGGATGTCATACTTTTGTCTAGTAGACATGGCTAAAGATGTAGGTTTCAAGGGTGGAGATGAACTATTCTATGCTATCCCTGGTTATAGTCTTGAAAATGGAATCGACAAACTTCATGATGATCATTCAGTTCGTAAAATGTTGAATTTTGCAAAGAAAGGCAAGTCAATGGAAATTTATATTAAGCATCTTGAATAAGGTGTAAGTGCTACTCCAATATTTGGACAGGATGTTGAAGATAATCATGTGGAGGAGGTACTGTACTTAGAAACAACTTTTCTTTTCCTTCCGTATTTTTTTTCTGATGTGCTGACGTGTGATACTGTGTCATTTCGCTATGTTTTTTTTTGTTGTTTGTGCTGCTTGTGCATTTTTTTTCCTCATGAGCATGGTACCTTGATAAAGTATAGTTAGTACTTGATCTTGACCTATTTAAAATCCTAATAAATTTGCAATATAATTTTGTTGACAGACATGGCTCGCCCTCCAACCAATCGAGATATTGTAATCTTTTGGAACAGAATGAGAACACGTAGAGTGAAAATAGTGATGACATTGTATTTATTGATCCATAGCGGACTGTGGAGACTAACTGTGGTGTTGTTCAAGGCCACCAGCATCATTGAGGCCCCTGGACTGGCAGCGGCAGCGAGAGGTCTCAGCGGCCTAGGGTCGAGTGAGGATTGATGTGCATAGATGTAAATCCAAACGATATCGTTTCAATGACAATGTGAGAATAAAAAATAAAATAAATAGAATATATAGATTATTTGACAAAGCAGAGATAACCGTTCTTTCGTTTACAACTATGCCGTAGGTTGCCTTCAATATGAAATAATCATTCTAGTGCTGCGCTGTTTTAAAGCTAAACAGGTTGAATAGAGAATTGACAAGCATAACAAGTCATAATAGTGTCAGTAATCAGTTACAAAAATTGTCATATATCATGAACTGAACATACAGGAAGCAAACACATTCTGTCAGTTAGAAAAAAATGAAAAGTTATCAAAAAAACTTTCATTGATTTTCAGCCTACAAATCATAAGAACTCTCATTGATTTTAGCGATTCCAGTTTTCAATTGTTTCAATCGATCTCTAGATCTTGATGGTACTAACAACCCATTCAATATAACTTGATTGTTTCTAGGAAGGGATGATCATGGACGTAAGTAATACATACACTTGATTGTGAATCAATGAGAGTTTCTTTTGTTGAACGACTGAAAAATTTCTACTGCACTTTTGAGTGAAATGATGGCGAAAAGAACACAGTGAAATCAAGAACGGCCTGCTGCTCACCGAGTCAAGGAGGATGTTGGATGCCTTGAAGACGCTAGATGACCGGTGTGTCGGCGTAGTGAAGGAAGGCGAGCCCCTTCACCGCACCAATGGCAGTCTACATCCTCCTCATCCATGGTACAGGACTATCGAGACCTTCACACAATTACAGTTCAGGTCAGCTTCTACAAGTCTTTCCGGAATTGACACAGAGGTGGTGGTGACAAACTGACGGTGAAGGTAGCTTTTGTAGCGTGAGGTTCAGAATGAATAAATGACATTGCAGACTATTAATATACTGATGGAAAACATTGCAAGATGTGTCTAGACAATGAACTCAGGAGATAACGATAAACTCCAGAGCAAAACATGGCTGTCCAAGGTTATGAAAGATTACAACGTAGCCCATATTAATTTGGTAAATGTTCAGAATTAGGATTATAAATTTAGATACGTTATATGAACTATAATCCATTGTTTTCCATAACAGAACAAAGATACAAGTCCAACGTAGCCCATATTAATTTGGTAAATGTTCAGAATTAGGATTATAAATTTAGATACATTATATGAACTATAATCCATTGTTTTCCATAACAATACAGTAATTCACAATCCAAAATGCAGATTCAAGTTTAGTTTATGGACTGAAAAAAATAATGTATGACAAGGTTCAGAATCATTTAATCAATAATAAATACTGTCAAATTTTCAAAATAATCAATTCACGTTCAGTTTCATCAAAACAGTACATGTAAAAATGCAACATTCAAATAATGCTGTACAAGCATCAATTGCATCGTTCCCTCGGCCTCTGCCAAGTGCCAAGTGACCAACATGGCTAAAGAGATCAATCATACAGCATTAATGTTTCATTGTTGGCCTGATACCGTAATGATACAACATGAAATATTCATGAAGTGAAAAATTTCTCAAAGGTATAAAATAAAAAGGAATTTAGTCCATCTAAAGGCACTCTTAGTTTTATATGCAGAGCATGCTCAAAACCAGGAATGACATGGCAAGCTCGATGTTTACATAAAAATCTCTAGAAAGTTTAGAATGCGAATATACTTAAACAAACTTCAAAGTTTTAATACCAAAATATATTAAATGAAGGGATTTTGTGAATCTAAAGGAAAAGGTATCATCAAGCAGAGTAGCAAGTCATATATATGGGATTAGCATCATTTACCTCTCTCCTGAACCCCAGTTGTTCTCTTATTTGCTGCTGGACCAATGCATTCCATTCATTCCAGTTATTGCATCAACTTCTGCTACAGGATCACTAACAAATTTCACAATTCCATAAACCTATTAACACACCCTTAACTGAAAGGCAATGGACCCTAAATGCCTCTTGTAGCATGTAGTCTGCAATATCTGCAGCCAGATCCCAACTACAATGGCCCAATTCAATCGAAAGACCATCTCAACATTCAGCATCATTTGTGCAGTGTCCACTATATGTCTGATGAAGAACTTGATCAGCAGCTGCCTGCAACGCTTGTAATCTCAACAAAGTCATAACCCTGAAGTTGTCCACTTTGTTTATCCCAGATAAGCTTCACAGATTGAACCTGCAAATCAATGCAAACATCACAATATGGTCAGGCAAAAACACAAAGTTGACAGCAGTAGTTGTTGTCATTCATCCATTATCACTGGAGCAAAAAAACCAAGTCACATATAGCAGCTATGTAACTGTTATATGGTCTGCAAACTTTTTTTTTTTTTTGAACGGAAAAAACAGCACAGTAGTGCTTTTTCATTGAATATAGAAGGAGAAAATACAACCCCTAGGGGTAAAACAAAAAGATCTTTAGACTATACACTATACAGAGTGCGGGATGAGCTCGCGCAATCTTTTAGCCCCAGCTAAAGCCCACAAGCTGGCCTCCTCTTTGATTTTTGCTAGGAGAACACCTGTCTGCAAACTTAGCACCCATGTGGAAACATGTGGAAACAATAGATAAGTAGAAACAATCAAACAAAACCTTCCAAAGCCCATAAATTAGAGGAAGTAACCTGTTCATATTTCATGGGCACAGCTCTAGAAAAAAATAATCAGAGATCAGATTGAACAAATATCTGCTGCTGCTAACAGGTCAACATCTATCTAGCCAAAAGCAAAAGGGTTGCAATAAAGTTAAGTGGAACCTGTATCATAAAGATTATTTATTCTTCGTTAAGCAAAATATAAAATGCAACTATTGAATTGCAGTGTGATAAGACACTGCGCATGTTATGAATAAATTAGACTTTGTACACCTTTGCAATCAGTATTATTATGATCAAATCCTTTCCAAATTGCTCTAAAAAAATTGTATCTCATCAGTATTGCTCCGATAGAAATATATTTCCAATCAGCATTGCTCCTATCAAAATTAATTGAGATACATGCCCTGAAAAAGTATATAATCACATCCAAAGTTTAATTACAACGATAATATAATCATGTGTTTGCAGAAACCTCAAAAATATGGATTATACATAAATTGAGCTGTAAGAAGCATGCATGAACTAAAAGTAAAAATATAGTTAGAATATGTATGCCTATTGCAAACTAAAATGCAATCTTAAAAATAAAATCATGTTTACCTTGAAGCCAATGTCACATGGATTGAAATTCAATCTTTAAGCTCAAAATAGGGTGGTAGGCTGAGGCGAGGAGATGATTGACCTAAATACCTACAGGCGCACAACTCAAATAACTCCCACCTTAGTACCTGATAATATCACTGGCTTATTTGGAGCAGCACACATCTGTTCTACTTCCTCCGTTTCACAATGTAAGTCATTCTAACATTTTCCACATTCATATTAATGTTAATAAATCTAGATAGATATATATGTCTAGATTCATTATCATTAATATGAATGTGAGAAATGCTAGAATGACTTACATTATGAAACGGAGGGAGTAACTTCTAAATCACCTTGCGGTGGCTGTCATTAATCAACCCAGTAATATTACCCTCCACTTTAAGTGTTTACTTCCAGAGGCTCACATGAAGTAGTCACATTCAAAAATAAATATAAACATTACTTAACTGAACCTAACAAACACGTTCACATATTTTACTGTTCACCAAAAGAAAATGCAATTATTTTGCCTGGTGATGTTACAAAGAGTGCAGAAGACAAGGAAAAATCTGAAACTAAATAAGCAAATATCTGCTACTGCTACTAACATGTGACATCAATTCACTCAAAAGGAAAAGATTAGACATTAAGTGGGATTGGAAATTTTTACTACATGTGTTCGTAACGATTTAAATGCCAATACTAAAAATTAAACTTTGATGAAAAAACTTTAAAATTAAGTTTTAAAATTTAAATTTTGGCAGCGGCTGATTTTGTATAGAGGAAACGAGGGGAGAGTGTTCGGATCACCTTTTGGTTTTACTTTTATTGGGACTTGCATGTTGTTCTGGAACTGAATTTGGCAAGGGCACTAATTGGGTCAGATATATGAACCTGAAACAATGCACATGTGAATTTTCAAGGCTGAAAACTCTTACCTTGGTATATTTTGATTCCATGGTATAATAATATGTGAGAATGTACCAAAATTAGATAAAGCCTTTATCTCAGCATGACACGACAATGAATCAACAGCTTCGCAGTCCTGGCCGGGAGCAACTCAATGAGACCCTGCTCCTACCTACCCGCTGGCAGATTTACTGCTCCACAAGCTTCATACTGCAGGCCAAACAATTGTCCGGCTGGAACTCAACATAAATTCACCTTTGTCTTAGACAGGAGCAGCGAGGGAGACGTGATCCGGATGAGTTTGCGTAGGGGGGGCAGCGAGGAATCGCGGTGGCGGCGCAGTGGACACCGGACATCGAGGGATCGACGGCGACCGGACAGCAGGAGATCCGGTGCCGGCGCGAGGCTAATGCGGGGATCGACGATGGCCGGACTGCGTGGGATCGACGGCGAGGTGCGATGCAGACACAAGGGCGAAGCGGCTCGACGGAGACTAGATGACGATATATCGACGGCGCCCTGACAGCGGGGATCCGGCAACGGCGCGAGGCGGCGAGGGAGAGGCAGCGGGGTGGTGCTGGGAGGATCCAACACTTCGTATAAGCCGTTGGATGAATATATCTAAGGATAAAAAAATATATATAGGTGTTTGATGAAGTCGTACTTTTTGTGTGACACCTTGAAAACCTCAAATTTGTAAAAATCAAGTCTAATTTGATATATATTAACAAATAGGTAGAACCGAGTCTAATTTGATCAATTAGCATAGGATTTAGGATTTAGTTTTAGATTTATTTTTCGAGCCTACTTAAGAGTTTATCCGACGGACTTTAATTTGAAAAATGTGAGCCATATTGTTTGATCAAATTTACTTTTGGCCCAGGTCTTCCCAAGCAGGCCCAAACTTGGGCTGGCCCATCATCGGCGAGTTGAGTCAATTCGACGGCCCTTAAGCTGAGCGGCTGAGCACGGCCCACATATGCGGGGACGGTCCGATGCACTTCCGCGGCCCATTGGGCGCAGCGTAATCAATAGCAGCGACGGCCCAACGCTAGGCAAATCTGAGCCGTCCAATCTAATGGACGGCTCCAATCGTCCCCAAATCCCTCTCTCCTGATTCCATTTCTCTCCGGCGACGAGCGCCGAGCGGCCTGGACCTCGTCGGCGGTAGGGGCGACGCCAAGCCGACGCTTCCCGTCTTCAGCAAAGGACGGTGGAGGGGTGCACCAGGACAGTGCGTGCGCAGGGACACGACTGCGAGGAGGTGAAGGTGCGGCGGTGCCGCTTCCCGGAAAGCTCCGGTGAGCTCAGGGGCTTCAAGTCCGATAAGTAACCCGAACCCTCAGGGGCTTCAAGTCCGATAAGTAACCCGAACCCTCAGCTTAATTGATTTGGATTTGACTCTTATGGTTATTACCTGAAATTAGGGTTCTTCGAATTCAGAGAATTTTGTCGAGAAATTTCAATATATTTTATTCCCCCTTTTCGAGTTAGGAGAGTTTCATTATCGTTTATCCTCTTTTAATTTTAGGAACTTCAATCAAGTTTATCCCTTTGCTCAATTTTGTTTTTTTTTTCTTTGGCTGGCGTTTCATCGCGCGGATGGGGACGGAGGGCGCCGCTCGTCCCCTTGGAAAGATTGAGATTAAGATAAGATTTTCACGGACAACGGAAGTAAATTGAATCGATCTTTTTTTTTGTTTTAATGTTTTTTTCGCTATTTTTTCGTTATTACGGACAACGGAAACATTTTTAATTTTTTTTAAGTAGTAGAGATAGAGAAGATAGAGATATATAGTACCGTGTCAAATATAATAGGATTCGATTTTTTTTTTTCCGCGTCACATATAATTCTTCTTTTTTTGAATCCGACAGATTTGTTTTTTTAATTTTTTTTTTGCTCTTTTTTTACCACGTCCACGCGGATTCGTTTTTCTCTGGCCGATCTTTTTTTTCACCTGGTTTTTTTCACCCTTTTTTTAGGAATCGGACATATTCCTTTTTTATTTCTTTCGCCTTTTTTTTACCGTGGAATGGGATTCGTTTTTCTTTTCCCTTTTTTCGCCCGTTTTTTGATCGGACATTCTTTTCTTTTTTTCGCCCGGTTTTTTTTCATTCGGTTTTTTTCCCGTTTTGTTTTGGATCTGACAGATTTTTTTCGCCTGGTTTTATTGACGGACGATGGAAGCACCTCTTATTTTTTAATTTATATATATATATAAGTAGTAGAGATAGAGAAGATAGAGATATATAGTACCGTGTCAAATATAATATGATTCGATTTTTTTTTACCGCGTCACATATAATTTTTTTTTATTCCGACAGATTTGTTTTTTTAATTTTTTTTGCTCTTTTTTTACCACGTCCACGCGGATTCGTTTTTTTCTCGCCGATCTTTTTTGTCACCTGTTTTTTTTTCGCCCGTTTTTTAGGAATCGGACAGATTCCTTTTTTATTTCTTTCGCCTTTTTTTTACCGTGGAATCGGATTCCTTTTTTTTTTCCCTTTTTTTTTGCCCCTTTTTTGATCGGACGTTCTTTTCTTTTTTTTCCCCCTTTTTTGATCGGACGTTCTTTTCTTTTTATGCCCGGTTATTTTCGTTCGGTTTTTTTCCCGTTTTGTTTTGGATCGGACAGATTTTTTTTCGCCCGGTTTTTTTCGACAGACGACAGAAGCAACTCTTATTTTTTAAGTAGTAGAGAATAGAGATTAATATCAATATAAAAAAAACTACATACTACATCTCATCCATTTGGCATAGACCCAAACTGATTCGATGTAAGCTGCATAAATCATCTATTCACCGATTTCACTCGTTTGACAGGTGCCAAATTCTGGTGCCTGGAATATGATGCAGAGAAGTGTGCTCACTGCTCTGTTTTATCGTCAAGGTAGGTAGCAAGTTATTAAATCTGTCAAATCCCCTTTGAACATTATATGAATATAGTATATCAAGTTATCAAATGTACATTACATCAAAATTGTTAGTGGAGAAAAAAATACAGCAGGGCTGGTCTGCTAGCAGTAACAGGTAACTGGGTCCTCTTATTTGTCAAAAAAAAAAAAAACTCCTAATATTGCCGTGTCACAGGTATAGCGGTTCTTTTCCACTGGATCTTTCATTAGAAAATCAAACAATCCTAGGACAAGTTGATTGAAAAGATTTATGGGTACCGCACGATGCCTCTAGTAGTCTAGTAGTTAATTGGTTAGATGCGACCAACGTGCACAGGTTTCTATAACTTTCAGCTTATATGGTTTCATTTCACATGTTGTAAAGAACTACTTTCAGATTCTTTGGAGATATCGAAATACATTTATCAATAAAAATGTTACTTATGTGTATCCTCTTGAACTCCCATGGTATGATTCCTCCTCTCCACAGACCACTTTACCATTGTACACCTAACATAGTAAGTTGATTAGAAAATACACCCATGACTGTACATTGATGTGATTTGCTAAATTGTTCTCAGCAAACCTGTAGCACCAAAATAATTTCCAGATGTGAATGTTTGATTGGATCGCTTGAACGTTCAAACTTTAGCTATTAGGGAAAAAAAGATTGCTTTAAAATTCAAACTTTAGCTATGACAAAAAAGAATAAACTGAAATAGATGGGGTTGGCAATTTTTTCTTATTAGCCAATTAAAACCTTATAATTGACAACATGCTGGAGAACAAGCCAGATTAACTAAAAGTAAAAGTAGCACAGTAGTATCAGATTCAGAAATGCCACACAATCATGTCTTGGTTGCTCCTTTGATGTGAATAAATCAAACGTTGAGAACAACAGGAAAATATTATGGTCCCCTTAATCAAGATCAACCACTCATCCCCCCTAATCAAACGCCATACACCACCAACAGCAGGTAAAATTTGGTTAGAGAAGAGGAGGAAACAGGAGGGGAACCACCACACCTGGACTCCTAGAGACGAGAAAATGGACATTTCGCCATGTTCAAAACGCGGTTTCGCTAGAATGCCATCTCAAAAACATGATTCGATAAAATGCCAATATAGAGCGTGCGTCTACCGCCACTTTGCCATTTTTGCCATTTTATTCATTTTCGAAAAGATTTTCTCTCCTCTACTAGGTGATGAGACAAAATTGCCCCTTATCAACTCAGAGAACACGGTGAAAGATGAGACAGAATAGGCAAGGAGACAGAGAGAAGGGGCGGCGACGCCGTTGCTGCCCACAACTACTCTACCGGCCGGTGCGCCACCTCTCCCCATTCCTCAACCTCGCCGCTCCCCGCCACACCCCACGCCGCCACCACCTGTGCTCGCCGCCAACTGAACAGCCACCCCGCCGACAACTGCCACCAACTGTCATCGTCGTCGGTCGCGCCGGGACCTGCGGCAGCGGCGGCGAGGACCGCATCAGCAACCTCCCGGACGACCAGTTGTGTCTCGTCCTACGCTGGCTCGACACCCACACTGCGGTCGCCACGGGGGCGCTTCTCTTTTCTTCTCCTCTTCCCCTCGGTTTCTCTTCCTGTTCCCCTTTTCTCTCTTCCTTCTTAGCTAGCGAGGAGGCGCAGCTGGTGCAGTGGCGAGGCTGGGTGCGGCGGCACGGCCGACGACCCGACCAAGGCGATGGCGGTTGGCCCAGCGCGGCGGCGGCCTAAGGGCGGCCAGGCGGCGTCGGGTGGATGGGGAGAGAAGGCCGGTGCGGCGAGGAGGTGCCGGGGCGGCACCGGTTAGAGGAGGCAGAGGTGGAGGTGCTGGGTGGTCACGGAGGCAGAGGCGGCGCGCAAGGAGGCGGTGCTCCACACGGCGCGGCGGTGTCCCAGCGCCCATGAAGACGGCCATGGGGGCGCTCGCGTTGCTCGGCCGGCAAGCTCGGTCTTGCCCCATCTCACACCACCGTCGACGCCCTCGTCAGCAACGGTGACCACCTCGCCATGCTCGATCTCGATCCCCTTTCAACCGACAAGGAGGGGCAATTTAGTCTCATCAAGCCGAATTCCAGTGAAAATGGATTTGAAAATGACAAAAATGGAGAAAATGGTAAAGTGACTGTGATCACGCGCTTCATATTGGCATTTTAGCGAAACATGTTTTCGGAATAGCATTCCGGCGAAATCGCTTTTTGAAAGTGGCCAAATGTCCATTTCTCCCTGGAGACGGCAAGGTCATCCATTGTGTAGATGAAGTCAAAGCCCTGGATCTTCTATCGGTCGGCACTGTCACCACGAGGAGAGCGGGCGGGGCCATGGGGGCGTCCAAGCAGCGCACCGCCACTGCTGCCCTTGCGTTCACGCGAATCACCAGCACCTCCTACACCCGATGCAGCGGCGCGCACCGTGGGAGTCGAGCTCAATGGCGGTGCTTGAGGTGCCGAGGGGTGGCCCTGGTTCCTCCTCCTGATGCGACGCGCAACGTGGGGGTGGCTGCGACTGCAGCTGTGCACCGAAACCGGTCCTCTCCACCGTCGGCTCGGCTGCCTCCCTAAGCAGTCCGTCGCCACGTTTTTCCTGATGTCCGCCATCGCCGGAGCTCCATCCCTCCGTGGCTGTCAACGAATGTGGCTGGACACGGTCACAGAGAAGGGGAACCGAAGATGGGAGGCCGCCCTGGGATGGGAGTGGTGGGAGGACGGGATTTAGGGGGTGGATGGAGACGGGAGGTGAGGCGGTGGATCGGCGGCGAGGGTGAGGTGGCGTGGGAGGGCGAGGTCGGGCACGACGATTGGGGCGAACACGTGATGGACGAGGAGCGGGAGTGCGGGCACGATGACGTTCTGGCGGGGGAGATCGTCGGCAACGTGTGAAACGACGAGAGGGAGAGAGGATTAGGGTGGCGTGGAGGTGGAGGAGACGCAGGGCGGGGTGGTGGGGTTGAGATCTGAGCGAAGGGCGTGGGGCGGTGGGCGGAGGAGCGAGGCCATGAGGGGCGTGAAGGGATCGATGTGGAGCACTGGATGTCGCGATCGTATCATTAATATCACGCGTGTCTATCACGTTAGTGTCACCAATACCATTATAAATTTTTTAAGTAGTAATAACTAATATCTCTATTTCTATCTCTATCTCTATCTCTACTACTCCCTCCGTCTACTTTTAATAGGCATATTTCATCTTAGCACAATGACCAAGAATAAGTAATTCTACTTATCATCCATTTAAACATGCTACTCTCTCCGTCTACTTTTGATAGACATATTTCTAAATCTAAAAAAAATATTTTTGATAGACATATTTCAATTGAACCACTTATCATCTTAATGACTTTCTCGGATTTAATGCGTGAATCTCCATTCTTCCACACAAGATTGGCTACATGGGCATCGAGAAATATAAATATTAATGAATTGTTTTTTTTACGAGGAATAACTAATGACATGTTTAAATGGATGATAAGTAGAATTACTTACCCTTGTTCATTGTGCCAAGATAAAATATGTCTATCAAAAGTAGACGGAGGGAGTACTAGTTATTTCTCGTAAACAAACGATTCATTAATATTTACACGATGCCCATGTAGCCAATCTTGCATGGAAGAATGGAGAGTCACGCATTAAATCCGAGAAAGTCCTTAAGAGTATATGTGGTTGGATTCAAATATGCCTATCAAAAATAATTTTTTTAATTTAGAAATATGCATATCAAAAGTAAACGGAGGGAGTAGCATCTATAGGAATGGTAATGGGTCAAGGTCCCTGAGTTCTTCCACAATCTTATCTTATCTAATTCTAGATCAAATATATATATATATATAGAATAAGTATGTAATTGGCCTAAGGAAGCTGCAGTATTTTTTTAAAAAAAAGAGAGATGCTTTGAGTTGACTGGCCACGAACCCCCCGGCGTCTCCCAACCACCGCGTACGCCCTACTTCTTTGTCCCCCTACTCTTTCTCCCATCTGCACTACTCTCTTCTACTACCTTGTTGTTGCAGCTTGATTTTTGATGTATTAGCAGTTTTACATGATGACGGAAGAGCGAGATCATGTTAATTTCTTTAGAGAACTAGATCATGCTATTTTTTACATGATGGAATGGCGCATTACAATGATTAAGATAAGATGTACCACAGGCGCATGGAAATTCGCACAATCACTGCAGGTCGCCAGGGTTCGATTTCAGTTCAATTTCCCCACCATTTGGTTTTGCGAAAACACGATAGAGTACAATGTCCAATGTGGATGCGTCTGGAGCTTTAGGAAACGCTCAGTCTTGAGGTTAACTGATTGTTGAAATTTGAAAGAGAACTGATGCTATTTCGAAGACTACATAATAAAGCCATACATGCACCAGTCTTTAGTGGAGTATTAATGTATTATTATTCATAGCACAACGACAATCTTCTCCAAACTTGTTAGTTGTTACTACTAACAGATAGCATCTTAATTCATTATTCAGAACTAGCACATTGAGGAGACTCCCGGGGTCTACCCAATTCCCTTTTTTCAGAGCTAGCACATCAAAATTCAAGGAAGGAAAAGATAAATCTGAGAGCATTTTTACGGTCTTTGAGGAGGTACCACTTTTTCTACTGTAAATTTGGTATCTCATAGTACCTAGGTACCAAATTTTATACTAAATTTTTGGTACCTCATGATACCTCCTCAAGGATCATAAAATTGTTCTAAATCTGAAATCCGTGCCCCAAATCTCTTTTTTTTTCTAAGAACTACTCCAGCACATCAAAATTGAAGGAAAAGAAAAATCTGAAATCCCTCTCTTTACATCAGAAACCTTTCTAGCATAACAATGCGAATGGATGAAAACAACTATGCACTGTCCCATTAGCATGCCGAACACTCCACCAAAAAGAACTTGTTATCAAATACTCCCTCTGTCCCAAAATGTTTTGACGCCATTGACTTTTTTAATCATGTTTGACCGTTCGTCTTATTCAAAAAATTTAAGTATTTTTTAATTCTTTTCCTATTATTTGATTCATTGTAAAATATACTTTTATGTATACATATAGTTTTATATATTTTATAAAATTTTTTGAATAAGACGAACGGTCAAACATATTTAAAAAAGTCAACGGCGTTAAATATTTAGGGACGGAGGGAGTCCTAGTTCCTTTCAGTTCAGCAGTATAGAGCACTAGTACGCTTGTGAGTAACTATAATCAATTTGGGGGTTCCATCCTCCAAACCGTTACCCTCCAAGTATTATCTTTTGATTCAGGAGTCCAGCAGATTCAGGTTCCACTGCTCTGTTTCTGTGATGATCAATCAGATTTTGCACCTCCCTTTGCGTATTTTTCCTTCATCTTGATGTCCAGTGCTGTTTCGGGACCGTTCTCGCATGTTTTCTAAAGCAAGAAAATTTGGTTTACAAGAACATGAAAAATATTTGCCATGTGCATACGTATAATTATTGGGAGAATAATGAAAAAGGGTACTACAATCCTAAAACAGAGGCCAACTGTGAGAGGAATGTTTATGCATATAAAGCCATCATTCTTTCATATATAAGGAATTTTTTAGATGTGTACTGCCATAAATAATTTCTAACGTATATATTTTTGTGACAACATGCTAAGATTAGCTATCTTGCGACATTTGTTTCTTCAAATTAACATTGAATTGTTGTTGTTATCTTAATTTTCAGTAAAATTAAGATAAGCTGTAGATTGTACACATGACTTCCTCAGAAAAGTATTCCATGCATTTTATTGGCTTTGCACATTATAAAGTACAGACTAATAATAAATACAGTGCTTTGAATAATGCACCATCTTCACGAATTTTCAGGCACAAATATAACCACATCTTCTGTGTCACTGATATGGGAGATTGGTATGATAAACTTTCACAATCTTTTAGGGATACTGCAAAGGAAGTATTGGCAAAGACAGATATTGATCCAAATGTTAGGTGCTTCCCAAAAAGACAGATGAAGCGCATCACCAACAACTACAGCACTACCCTGGGAAGAGGAGGGTTTTCTGTGGTGTACAAGGGTAGGCTCGACGATGGTCGTTCAGTGGCAGTGAAACAATATAATTGGAGAACACAGAAGGAGTTCACAAAAGAGGTGATCATACAGTCTCAGTGTAGCCATAAGAACATTGTTAGGCTATTGGGCTGTTGTGTAGAGGCCGCTGCTCCGATATTGGTCACCGAGTTTGTCCCCAACGGAAACCTTTCTGACCTTCTACACGGCAACAGTGGACTGCTTCCTGTCACATTAGAGACACGCTTACAGATTGCGCTGGATGTAGCAGAAGCACTTGTATATATGCATTGCTCCCAAAGTTATCCAATCCTTCATGGAGATGTCAAACCGTCAAACATTCTTCTGGGTGACAAGGGTGTAGCGAAACTGTGTGACTTTGGAATATCAAGGCTGCTCTCTATGGATAGTGATGAATACACAGGATTTGTTATCGGAAGTAAAGGTTATGTGGATCCTGTTTTCTGCCAGACTGGGCGATTAAGCCAAAAATGCGATGTCTACAGCTTTTGGGTGGTTCTTTTAGAACTCTTCACCAGAAAGAAAGGAATTGATGACATGAAAGTGTGTCTTGCAGAAATTTTTGCTTGTTCCAGTAGGAAAGGTGATGAACATAAACTATTTGACATGGACATCGTAACCAATGAGAATATGGAGTTTCTTCAAGGAATTGGCAGGGTCGCACTCGAATGTATAAAGTTTGAAGTAGAGGAACGGCCAGAGATGAGGCTAGTTTTAGAGCAGCTTTTGAGTCTCAAAAGATCCCGAGATAAGAGCATTCATGAGATGCTGGTTGTACGTAAAGAGATTGAGGTATTTTTGAGAGGATGTGGTTTTGGAAGATTTATATTGAGTAAAGAGAGTGTGGATGACTTGATATGCAACTTGAAAATTGTTCTGAAGGAATGTGCGTCAGGCAAGGCTTACATAGGGAAATCTCGCGGCACACCACTGATGGCGATAAAGATGTCAACTGCAGTTACAGAGAAATGGAAAGACATGCTTGGGAATGAAATAGCTGTCCAATCTAGAATTAAGCACATGAATGTTGCCAAGCTTATCGGTTACTGCTTAGATCATTCGGATGGTACAGTGCTTATATACGAGTACGGTGCAATTAGCTTGTATGATGTTCTTTTTGGTGATGCGGGGAAGATATATCGTCCCTTCACTTGTGACCTGCGCCTGAAGATTGCGATTGGTGCTGCAGAGGGCATTGCTCACCTGCATTCACTTGGCGTCGTGCATGGCGATGTCAGCATTAACGACATACTGCTGGATCATGTCTCTTCGTCCCTGGTAAAGATTGCTGGCTATGGGACATCAGGGCTCCCTGACATCGACAAGGCTCTGGATTCGCTTGAAACCGGTCATGGGAAGAAGGAGCATGATGTGTACAGTTTTGGGCTTGTTCTCCTAACCCTCTTCACGTGGAAGAAGGTGTCACTGCCACATGATCTCAAGTCCGAGCCTGACAAACCTGTGCTACTGCACCAGGAAGCCATCCGTGGGCGTAGATGCAATCATCTTGAGATGATCAAGGGCTTGGCTTCACGGTGTCTGACGTCCGAGGCGACGAAGAGACCATCCATGGTGGAAGTAGCAAAACATCTCAACTTCATACTTATTTTTCCTGAAAGGAGGAAAACTTGCCATGACCTGGCGATTTATCAATCTCGAATGCTTTCGGACTAGGCTAGGCTGCAAGAACTAGCAGTCGTACATGGGTTTTTTTTTTAGTAAAGGTGCCGTATACGTTGTAGATGCTATATATAATTCAAGCAACATGTGTATTTTATATCCTGACAAAAAAAAACAATGACTCTTGCTTCTTCTCAGGTTTGGTGGCTCTTTCTTGTTTCTAATTCTTATTCAGTGCATTTGTCTTTTTTTTTAAGATAATGGAGTATAATTCAGTGCATTTGTCTACATCTGGCCCTTTGGCCTTTCTTTCTTGTGGCCGATTTTGCTCGGTCAAATTTTTGTGTAACAGAAGAAATTAAGCCGCATCAGTTTACTTTGGATGTTGCTTGGATTGGTACTGTTTCTTGTTTTCATGTTTTTTTGTGAAACTTTATGTAGGATCGAACATAAATAATCAAGCCTACGAGGGGGGGTGAATGGTAAGGAAAACCAAAAACCCAAAAACTTTTAGCGGAAATAAAAGTTACCCTCAAATCGATGGAAATCTCGACGTAGTCCTGTCGCCGCCGGTCGGACTGCTCGTACGCCGCCGGTCTAACCGCCGCTTTGTAGCCGGTTGAACCGTCGGTATGTCACCGGTTAGACCACCGAACCCGATAAAACACAAATCGAAGAACTCTTAAAATAAATGACAACTTTATTGCTTCTCTCTGTGTTTACAAAGTGCAACAACATCACTCCTTACAAAAATCTCGACTAAACTTAAAACTAACTAAATTATCAACTCCATGCTCTGAAAAGCGATACAGGAAACCTCACGCTCCCTCTCTATTTATACCACAAAAACCCTCTATTCAAAGTAGGTGAAGAACTCCTATACACAATATGACTCGATACTTCAATTTCCTTTTTCTCCAAAATCCGCAGCCGCACCCAAGTCAGACTCCTCCTTCCCTAGCTGCTGCTGCTGCTTGCCGCCTGAGCCGAGTCGGCTTGTCACCACCGAGCCCAACTCGGTCGCCCAGGCCAGACCAATTGCTGCTGCTTTTGGACCACGTGCACAGCACCTGCGCACACCCAAGCCCATATGCATGACAGCCTTCCATCCAATCGGCCACACACACGTGCCCAACCAATCTCAGCACATACACACACATGCATGTACTGATCACACACGTACAACACACGTACATGTATCATACACGCTACAGTACATCAAGTACTGTAGCAACCATGCACTCCACCATACATGAACATCTCTATCTTCTCTCATTCCTCTTCGCGAACACCAACGCTTGCACACACACCTCGTGAAGCCCGTTGCGAAGATCTTTCCCACACTATGTCCATCCGCCGTGTGCCATCTCGTATTCAACTTCGTCACCCGGTATCCTTGACCGTCTGGACCTCAACTCCTCCCTGAGTTTAGTTCCGATCCCCACCGTTGACCGAAGTTGACCTCCAAGAATCCTGACTCTAGTCACCTTCTCACATGGTATCCCGATCGCACTAGACCTCTGTTCCTCCCTGAACATAGTCCTGGTCCTCACCATTGACCAAGGCTGACCTCAAGTCACCTGCACACAATCAGACAAAACAACCGTTTCTGGGCATAGATATCACAACCTGACCCACATTAGTCACACGCACTCACACCAACATCCACACATCTTTTCAAACCAATTCATTGATTAAATCATTTGCATAGCCAATTGTTCATCACAAATATTAATCATGACAGTGATTTCACACTTTCCAGTTTTTACCTCTCTCGTGGGCTCCAGGTGGATGTGTGTTTTGGCCAAAAAAAAAAGATCTTCTGAAAGGTTCTGCCTTAAAAGAGTTTCCAATTTTCATTTCCAAATGTGGAGGGATGATGGTCCTGATTGTAAATTTGTTATTGGTGCACATAATTTGCTATCCGTACAATGGCACCGTTGCAACTTGCAATCTAAAGAGAATTGGCTTTCCTACGCAGATGATGTTGAAACAGCACAAAACAAGTATCACAATGCACAGAGGGGAAACAGAAATGAAAAAAGTTCAGACGCGCCAGCACAGTCTTCTTCTTCATCTTCAGATCTCTAGCCTCTTAACGTTGGGTCTCCAGCCAAACCTTGATTGATAAACTTCACTTGCAACTCGCCTTATGAGCCTGGCCCCCAGTAGCAAGTTTCTTCGGCTTGTTTCCTGTTTCTGCAAAGTTGTCCAGGTTTCAACCCAATAACAAGCGAGAAAGATCAGATCAGTAGGATCATGTGGAAGTTTTTTTTTCAAAACAAGCTTTATTTCTAATCTTCCAAATAGCCCAGATCATAGCAGCAAGGCCAACCACAACCAGATTCCCAGTCAATCTGTCAATTTTGTTTAGCCATTGTCCAAACAAGTGCTGAAAATTAAGGATAGGTTTTATGTTGAGAGCACAACAAACAACATTCCATAACAATTCTTCCAAATGACAGAATTGGCATTTTTTATCACCCTTCCTCCAACCTTTTTTAAACAAGTTATCTTTAGTCAGAATCTTGTTCTTAGCAAACAACCAAATAAAAATCTTAATTTTCAAAGGTATTTTGAATTTCCAGACTTTCTTAAAAGGGAACACCACCTGTTTCATTTTGAGAGCTTTATAAAAAGTTCTCACACTGAACTTGCCATCTTTACTAATACTAAGTTCCCACCAAACTTTATCTCTACAATGTGCATTGATAACCAGGGAGTCCCAACCAGCCTTGATTTTGTTCTAGTCCCTAAGTTTTTCACTATGCTAATGCTATCAATCCCCTTTTGGTTAATATTTGCAATTGTCACCATTTTTTTTCACAACTATATTATAAGAGCAATTTTATGGTCCTTGAGGAGGTACTATGAAGTACCATTTTTTCTATTATAAATTTGGTACCTCATGGTATCTAAGTACTATGAGGTACCATGAGGTACCAAAATTTACTAAAATTTTGGTACCTCATGGTACCTACTCAAGGACCGTAGAATTGCTCATATTATAAAGGTCAGGAAATTGGTCACACAAAGGTCTACTCCTATCCAGCTGTCCTCCCAGAAGAGAGTATCTTTCCCATTGCCCAAAATTTGTGTAACATGTTTGTAAAACAGATCTTTAATCTCCATGATGCCCTGCCAAAAATGTGAGATACCAGGTTTCTGTTTTACTGCAGACAAAGGTTTTCCTTTCAGGTATTTCTCTCTTAGAATATCTTGCCACCACACATCCTCATTTTCAATTCTCCACACCCATTTTCCTAACATGGCTTTATTCATTATATCTAGATCCAGTACCCCCAGATACCCCCCCCCCCCCGATCTCTAGGTGAGCAAACCAGAAGCCACTGAACAAGGTGAAACTTTCCAATACCCTAATCTTCTTGCCACAAGAGCCTCCTTTTAAAATAGTCCATCCTATCCCTAACACCCTGTGGAAGTCTGTAGAAAGAGATCATATACAAAGGGATATTGGTTAGGCTTGAATTGATTAGCACCAGTCTCCCCCCAATAGACTGGATTTTGCCTTGCCAACATCCTAACTTGTGTTCCATTTTATTTTCAGCCATCTTCCAGTCTTTGTTCAGAATTCTTTTTTTTGTCAATGGGGATACCTAAATAGGTCATGGGAAGCTCTCCACCTTTACAGGTGAAAATCTAACTGTACAGGGATTGCTTCTCCTTAGCCTCCCCAAAACAAAACACTTCACTTTTGTTGAAATTTATTTTGAGACCAGAGAGCTGTTCAAACAGACACAGCTAGTATTTAAGATGTTTAGCTTGTTCAAGATCATCTGACAGCAAGAAAATCGTGTCATCAGTGTATTGCAAAATTGCAACCTTGTTATCATCATTTATCCCCAACCCCTCTATCAACTCATTATTCACAGCTCTCTGAACCAGCACTGTCAAAGCTTCAGCAGCTAGATTGAAAAGCAAAGGGGATAAAGGATCCCCTTGTCTCAATCCTTTATGTCTTGAAATAAGGCCCAATTTGATCATTAACCTTAACAGCCACTTACCCTCCTGTGATCACATTCATGGTCCAATCACACCATTTATCAGGAAATCCCTTAGCATGAAGCATTCTATAAATGAAGGTCCAATTCACCTTGTCATATGCTTTTCAAAGTCTACTTTGAATAAAATCCAATTTGTTTGTTTTGATGCACTGAGTTAAGAATCTCATGTAAAATAACAACACCCTTCATGATGAAACGACTCTTCAAGAAGGCAGTTTGATATTTGGAGATGATGTAAGCCATAATGTCATTGATCCTATTCATCATCACTTTTGTTATGATTTTAAAACTGACATTCAAAAGGCATATTGGTCTATACTTAACGCATGTGGCTATTACGGTAGCTCCTTTATTGTGAGTATCTTACACTCGAATTGCACAAAAAAATGCCGAGATAGGAGCAATTCAAGAAATTCTAATCTGCACGCAATAAACTGGTGCGCGCTATTTAACCTTTTCTTCTGCAAGGGACACAATGGAACACTATATACTCCTCATGTATAGACATTAACACCGCAACAGCCGTGCAAAAGGGTGCTAGATCTTGACATATTGGATGCTTTACGGTTAGGATCTGTTGGTTTTCCAAGTGTACAAGCAAAGAAAGTTCAAACCGCCATGGCAGCGACCGTTAGACTCTTAGAGTCCAGGGATTGCTTCAAGATTGTACTTCTCTGATGATGTCAGTGTTAGTGATATGCCAAATCATAGAGATGATTGTATCACATACTATGTTTACATATTTATCCGACATTGTTCCTTGAAATAGATAACTCATTATTGGTTAATGAATATGTGATTCTTTCATGAGACTCTTTATGTTGTTTGTTACTATTTCTAAAGGATCCCTGATCAAATATCATATGTGGAACAAATATGTTTATATGATCAGCACATGTATTAATTAATGATCATGTCTCATGGATCATGGTATAGAGATACCAAATTAATAATGTGGACACATGTTGGTGAACATGTTGTTGGATAGACCCAACATGAGACATTGTAAGAGCCATATGTGTTGTGTCA